GCTGAAGTACCCCCCATCCCAGAGGCTTGCAGCCACAGTCCATGACCACCCCCCTCAGCCCTCACAGGACACAGACCCCAGGACCCCAGGTGGTAGCCATCACTGGCTGCCACTCAATGACAGGAGAAGGTAGGCTACATGGAAAAAGTCCTCAATCCTTTTAAAGTCCAAACCCCAAGCCCTTCTCTCCAGCCCCCACCCATCCCCAGTCCTACTCATCAACATAGAAAAAGCTCTAGTTTGAGGGTTGTTAGAATGGGGTTCAGTTCCTAGGTCTGCCACTTCCTGGGTGTGTGACCTCAGGGTAAGTCATTTCCCCACCTGGAAGCAAGGTGTGGAGGATCTGATAGTGCAGCCCTTGGCTAGTGGATGCCGCGTCCCGGCCCTCTGGCCCTCTTGCCCTCTGGCAGGAGGGCTTCTCCTGCTCTCAGCCTCCCTCCCCACCTATCCCGAGTCAGTTCCGAGCCTGGAGACCTCAGGGGGTGCAGAGAAGGGGCCCCTCGATCCGCACAAAGTGGGGGTTGGGGGCGCTGAACTTTCGAACCCGCAAACCCCCCGCGCTGTTCATTACCTTAACGCGAGTTAAAAATAACCGTCTCATCTCTTTAAATTAGTCTGTCTGCAATTACCGCCTGGCACGGCGCTGCCCGCCATCGTCCCGCTGGAGCGGCGCCAGGTGGCAGGCGGGGCCCTCACCCTGTCTGTCGGTCTGTCTGCCTGCCTCCCGGTCCCCTTCCCCCGCGGCGCGGCTACCCCGGAGGCCCCAGCGGCCCCGCCTCCCGAGCTCCCCAAGTTGCGCGGTGGGGGCGAAGGCGGGGGCCACCCGGCGGGTGGCGAGCGAGGGGTCCGTGGGGAGCTGGGAACTGGGGTGGCGGCTCGGCCCGGCGGCGGGGGAGGGGCTCCGGGAGGCCCGGGAAGCCGGAAGGGCCCGCAGCGCGCCAGCGCTCGTGGGTGGGTGTGAGCAGGTGGCCGTGGGAGTCTGCCGGGCGTGCCAACAACTGTGCCAGGAGCGGCTGGCACGGGCCCGTGCCCAGGAGGCGGGCAGCTGCCAGCCCCTCGCTCGTGCAGCGAGGGGGGTGAGGACACCCCCCCAATCGGGGCTCACACCGCCTCCTCCTGCACCCCCACCAGCCCTTGGGGATGGGGATCCCCGGAGGACAAAGGAGGAGGGAGCCCCGCTGGAGCAGGCTTGAGGGGAGAGGGCGGGGGCGCCCTACATTCACAACCACTGCTCAGAGCCTGTAGCAGGACCCTGTTCCTGGACCCTCCGATCAGTCCCTCCCTTCCCACCTGGAACTTACTGGGCAGGGCTGGGCCAGACTGGGGTAGCACCAGCTCTTCTGAACCCACCCCTCAGCAGACAGGCTGCTCTATTCCCTGAAGGAGAGGGGAAGTCCCCATCCACTGTGCTCCTCCCCACTGGGCCTGGGGACAGGAATGGGAGGTGCCCAGGCCTGGCCTGGGAGCTCCCAAAGGAGCTGGCAGCCAGGAAACACAAAAGGAGACAGAACAACTCAGGAGCTCTAAGTAAAAGGAGCTCCAGAACTCAGAACAGCCTGGAAGGCTTCCCGGAGGGGTCAAGAGCTAAGGAAAAGTGCAACTGGAGGAGCCAAGAGGGAGGGATAGCCAAGCTCTATCTGGATAGTCACACTCTTGGGGCACCTTGGAAAGAGGGAGGCATCCTGTTCAATCCCAGATCCTAGGCCTGAGACCCTCCAACCCAAGGGAAACAACCAGCCCCTTGGGTGAGATTCCCAGCACTGAACACAGCCTTTCTCTAGGCTTCAGCCTAATCTGGGTGTTCTGAACCTGCTACTGGTCTTGCCTCCTCCAGTTACTGTCCTCAGCACACTTGACTACCTCTCCACATCATATAGGGTGAAGGCTTAGCACATCAGCCTTTCCTGAGCTGACTACCACCCCCCCACACACACACACACCTTTACCATGCTACCTCCCTGCCATGCCTGGGGGACTCTAGGTTCCAGCCTGGTACACCTAAAATGTTCCCTAAATCCAACATGTACAATCCTACTTCCCTGCCTTTGAGTATACTCAACACCCCCCACTCTGCCAAAGAGTATCACCCAAATTCTTCCCTCCCCAGTGAAGGAAGCTCAGATAAGTGCTACCTCCTCTGTGAGGACCTGCCTGGCTCCCTAGGATATCTAACCCACCGTCCAGGAGCCCCTGCCCCACCCCCAGCCTTTCCTGTCCATAAAACTCAGGGCCTGGGTGTGGAACTGGCTGAGCCTAATGCACCCTGAAGATTTCCTCACTCTATGGAATGCAGGGTTTGGTACACCCTAGGGATTCAAGTTCAATGCTTTTGTTGGGATGGGGAAGGGAGGAAGGAATACTGGGCCTAGGCCCAAATCTGGGCACCTGAAGTGTACTGCAGCCTCTGTTAATGTGAGAGTAGCTGAAACTTGGGGATAGCTCCTCCATCAGTCCTCTGGAGGAATTTACTGGGAATGGGGGAAGAGGCACAGGGGCAAAAAGCTCCAAGAATGGGAGGGAAAGGAGGCCTTCTGAGGAGCAGGGGGGACAGAAGGGGACAGCACTGAAGGAACAGTATGAGGCAGGTCCCCTTCAGTACTTAGGTGGTCTCTGCCAGGGCCTAGAACAGGGGTCCAAGCCTGAGGCTCCTTCTCCAATTTCCAGCCCAGGACCCAGGACCTGCCAGGACTCCAACCCAGGAGCCAGGCTCAGGGAAAGCCAGTGTGCCCCCAGCAGTGTGGTGCGGTGGTAACCACATCCAATGGGCAGGAGGGAGACCTGGACTCTGGTCCACGGTCTGCCACTCACTGAACTCCTCAGGAGAGTCCTATCCCCTTTCAAGGCCTCAGTCTCACCATCTGAGAAATGAACTTACAGGACTAAACTATCTTCAAGCACACTGCCACCTCATTTTAGGATTTATACTAGTCCCTGCTCAAAAGCCTTCAGCACCTCCCCCATCCTCACCCCAGGCTGCCAGCAGACAATGTTCCAGAGGCTCTGTGGGGCCCTGGAAGGAGATACACCTGGGTTGCAGTCCAGCTTTTCCATCTTCTAAGCATGTGACCTTATGCAGTTAACTCCTCCACTCGGGGACTAAGAGTGCTCCTCTGATAATGGTCAGAGTAAAACCCACCTCAGGGACCGCTGAGAACATTAAAGATGTATGCAGTGGCTGCACACAGCTTGGCCCCAAGACATTCAATGAACTGCAGCTCTCTCCTGGCTTCCAGCCTCAGGTCCCCTTCTGCCCATCTTTCCCCATCCTCCCTCATCCATCAAGCCCAGCTGGAGCTCCACCTCCTGCAGGAAGCCCTCCTGGCCTACTCTAGCCTACCTGACTCTCCACTGACTCCAACTACACATCCTCTGCATCATCCACTTCTCTCTTCACTCTTTCATTGCACATCATTAATGGCTTCTTGGTGCCAGGCTCTATGCTGGGTGCTGTCGGCACAGAATGGCTGATACTGCCACTGACTTCCAAAGGTGAGATAGGAAAGGGAAATGAGACAGAACACAAATGACTAATGCCCAATGCAAGCATGGAGAGGGAGTCCCAAGTTGGCTAAAAAGAGTTAGGGAGGGCTTCTTGGAGGAGGCATCTGAACTCTGCCTTAAGAATAGTGAATATCAATCTGTACAGGGATGAGTGGAAGGTGGGCAAAGGCTTGGGGAGCAGGGAGGGAAGTAAGAGCAAAGCTGAAGGCCAGGGCGCACTTGGGAGGATGTATTCTGGTGGGGATTGAATTTAAGGGTTTCAGAGAGGGGATGGGGAAGGAGATTCAGGTCTTTTCCTCTGGCCCATGTCCCTGCCCCATTGTGGCTAGCAAGATGCAGAGAAGCTGCCAGTACAAAGCCTGAGAACCATGAGCTCCCAGGTCAGGACACCCTGATCACTACAATACTGCTATGGGCACCTAAAACTGCCCAGGTCCACTAACATACCTCCTTCCTTGGACTCTGCTGGCAGCCACTACAGAGTACAGCCCCCTTCCTGGATGTGGGCATGCCTTCTCACAAAGGCCCCTCTCCACTGAGAGTCTGACAGCTCACCTCTTAGGCACAACCTCCCTCTAACCCCTTTAACCCAAAGGCACAGACAAGATGGCCAGAGGAGAGCTGGGTCTGCAGTCACAATTCAATCAAGCCCTGACCCTGTCCTCTCCCAAGATGGCTCCCCCCTTTCCACTTTAGCACAGAGGCCTCCCTAGGGTACCCTAGACCTTTCCCCAGCCCCTAAATGCATCTGGACTCAGAGAGCCAGGGAGGTGGAAGACAGGCTTCCTGGGGTGGACAGGGGCAGATCCCTGGCCCTCAACACCCTACCCTGGCACCAGTAGGGGTCAACACCAGTCCTCCATGCTGACCCAGGTAAAGGGCATGCAGCATTTGCCCCATGGAGAACTCACACCTCAGGTCACCTGCAAGCTCCTCATCCCAGGCTGGTTTGTGCCCCAGGGTGAACTCCTGGCGCCAGACAGAACTGTGGGCCCATGGTCTGCACTCTTCACCCTAGGACTGGCTCCAGGAAGGGCAGTGGAGAGATTTGGGAGGGAAAGCAGCCACTGGCCCCAAGTCATTATTTTAGCTCTTTAAAAAGGGTGCCCTAGTGGAGAGGGTAAAACAAGAGTACAAAGCAAACTCAGGGAAGCAAAGGGAAGTCCCCAATGTCCGTGGCCTGGGAATCCGCTCTTCTGCTATGCCCCCAAGGATGGGGTGGGGATGTTCCTCAGGGATGCCTCAAAGCTACAGTCCCTTGTCACCCTACCAGACCTCCCACCCCGCATCCCTCCCCGAGAGGGAGCATACACACAGCTGCTCCCAGCACGCCCCTGCCTGTCCGCTGGCCAGCCCCACGCCCTGGGCACACACTCCGTGACCCCTGGGGGTGCCCCAGAGCCCCCTCCTGACGGCCCGCCTGGAGACCAGACCCACCTAGCAGCCTACGGAAGCCCCAATCGGCATCCCCAGCCCCCTCCCCAGCCGGACGCCCCCACCTTCCAGCCTGCCGAGCTGTTGCTGTCGCCTTTATCCTTGAAGTAGGGCACGTAGCGGACCATCCAGTCGTAGATCTGCGAGAGCGTGAGCCGCTTGTCCGGGGCGCTCTCGATGGCTTTGGTGATGAGGTCGGCATAGGACAGGTTTCCCCACGCGTTCCGCCGGGAGCTCTTTGCTTTCCGCAGCGGTCCGACCTCCGCGCCCAGCGGCGGCGCTGGGGCCATTGCCGGGGCCGTAGCCCGGCGCTCCGGCCCGCAGTCCTCAGCGCCCTCGGCCACCCCTGCACCCAGAGCTCTGTCCTCGTCGCCGGCCAAGTCGGGCTGCGGCAGGGGCCAGGTACAGGAGCGCGGCCGGCTCTGCGGCGCGAAGTCCGGGTCCACGTCCACCTGATGCGCTCGCAGCTTCGCGGCCATGGTCCCGCCCGACTCGGGCGAAGAGGGGAGGGAGGCTCCGCGGAGGGTGGGCGGGCGGCTCCGGGATCTGCGCGCCCCGGGGAGGCCCACGGGAGGGGTCCCTGGCTGCGCCGGCTCAACCGCGGGGCGCCATGGGCCGGGACGCGGAGGCAGGGGGCTGG